CATGCAGTGCACCATCCTGTGTTTTAAAAAAATTAATAAAAAAAGTTTCTTTCAAGTCGTTGAAGGGCCTCTTATGCTACAGATTCTTTTTATAAAATCTAATGAGAAATCTTAAGGTTAAGGTTTATTTAGAGAGGGTGATGAATTTCCTGCTTACATTAATTCCTGTGTATCTCAAAGTTTTGGTATTATTTTCAAGGTGAGTCACTGTTATTTCATTTAACCGTCTCTTGGCCCAACATTATAACTTGTTTTAGGGCTTAAATGATTTCATGCAAAAAGACTTTTTAAAAAATTTGACATGTAATGTTTTCATTTAAATGTAATCAGTAGACATAAGCAATGTTTTTGGTGATGCTCAGAAGTATTGATAATATTCAATAAAGTATAGATAGTCTTTTGTAGTCATGCATTGGGGACCAATTATGCATTCAACTAGGGATGTTAAGATACTGGAGATGTAAGGAAAAGGACTGGTTAATATGGAAATAGTTAAGTAATAACACTATGTAATAGCTCTATAACTGTCTCTTGAGGACAACATTCTGACAACTCAGTGACTAACCCTGAAGGGATGCCAGGAAATTTTTGCCTGGTATCAAAAATATATGCCAGGCAGAGTGTGTGAAAAGCCATGTGTTTTGGGGGAATGGTGAGATTTTTCCCAAGGGTAGGGTGTGGAAATTAAACTCGGTGCGGTGGTCTTTAAACACTGCCACTTGAATTTTTCCTAAAATACTTTAGAAACACTATGCATCTCCTTTTACATTTTCAAGTTAATATCTAAAATTTTGTTTTAAGTTTAGTGGTTTCAAAGGATAACATTTTTGAAATTTTTTATATCTAACTCCTTAAAATTATGGAATTTGTCTCACATCTAACCTAAATAAGAAAGCTAGTCGTGCTATCTATGCAATCAGCCTAATCAAACTTAATTTTCAGAAAATGACTCACTTCATTGTTCAACTCTAATTGATATGTTGAAACGTGTCCCAAGGCAATCATCTCAATTAATTGTGATTTCAAATTCTAAGTGGGAAAGGAGAGAGAAAGGGAGAGGGGGGAGAGAGAGAGAGAGAGAGAGAGAGAGGGAGACGGGAGAAGAAGAGAAGGAGAGGGGAGGAGAGGGGGCAGGGAGAGAGAGAAACCTGGCAAAGATTTATCTCTAGTTTCCTTTTCAATATTGCTTATCCCAAATCTCTTCTTCTGCTACATGAGTCTCTTTTTTGGGGGGCTGCATTCTCAGATTATCCCTCTATTTGGCCTCCCCAAGGGGATTTCCCTGCCCTCTCCCTTGTAATGTATTTTGGTAAGATTTAGGATAGGTGTGAGGTAAAGAGGACATCTGTGAAAGAAGAAATGAGAAAGGAGAAGCAGCAGGCCAAACATTCTCAATCAGAAGAGAATGTAAGAGATTTGAGCATCTGTAAAAGGATCCTTTGAGGCTCTTTGTGCCATACACCCTTGAGAAGTCTCTGAGGCCTCAGGGTAAGCATCTTCCGTCTGAAGACCCCTAGTAGAGGGAAAGGTGGTAGCTCTGGGTTTGGTCTGCCCCAAATTTGGGCTGAGGCTGGTCTGGTTCCTTTGAGGGACACCTCTTGTCAGCCCTGCTAGTGGGAACTTCATCACTGTGGCCTCTGGGCAGGGTGTGCAATGAGCGATTCAGGACATCACTAACAGAATTGAGAGTATAGTCTTGAGTGATATTTGTTTGGGGCAGTAACAGGGAATTAAAACCTTTTGTTTTGAGATTTTAGAAATCATAAGAGAAGGCACCAGGGAGAGGGAAGAGGACAGGGAGAGGAATCAGAGGGTCAGAGACAGAGATGCCATCTTGGATCTTGTGCATTGGACCTCACTTGTCTCTGCTGGGGAGCGGAGACTAAGACTTGGGTAACTGATGGACTGAGGCATCCCAAGAAGCTGGTTTAAAAACATGAGTGCTTGCTTTTTTCTTACAATCATTTATTTATACCGTGTTCTATCAACCTTCCTTCCTTCCTGGTCCAGTTCACATATCTTGGGCAAATTTCATAAGTGTATGGTCACTTTTAATGATTAAAAGTTCATTTTTAATGGTTAAAACTTAGTGCAATCCACTTTAAAGCTGCCAGGTAATATCACATTCTAACCTGTATTTGTATCCTGCTTTTCCCCATTTCCGACTTGATATTTGATCATGGCTGCAGCTTGGAGTAGAGTGGAGGATGAAGGTTATGGTCTGCTTCTGAAACACCTCCACCCCAACCCTCTTCAAGGCTTAACTTTGAGGTGTGGATACAGAAAAGAGGGGGAAATGGAAGGCTGGAAGCTTCTTATGTAACTAGTCACCTGTCCTTAGTAGGGAGGCACCAAGGGGTAGTGTAGTTCAGACTTTAGTGGACTTTTCATTTGGTTGTGGCCTCCATGGCAATAGTGTATGGATTTCTTGTATGTAAGTGGTGTGTATATGTGCGTGTGTGTGTGTGTTGTGTGTGTGTGTGTACATCAACTTCATTTGGGCCACCTCTATCACTGAATACATTTTAAAAGAAAGGCAGTGTCAACCTTCAGCTCAGCCCTGCCCCCAGTGCCCTTTCCAGGAGGGGCATCACTTCACCTGAACTGGCAGCTGCCTGTACAACTCTGTGACTGCAGTTTATCTCTATTCTCTGTGCTTCTTCATATGGACTGAAGAAGGAAACCCCAGGTTCTCTTCCACACCTTCAGAGGGTCATGCATGACTGGAATAATTCCCACTCTACCTCCCGCCCTCCTGTTGTTTCCAGTTACATTGTACCATAGTCCTTTTAAGCCCAGCTGATACAGGATGCTCCTATGGCCATCCACTTTCAGAACACTAATAAAAAATTGTCTTTATGTCTATCTGCCAAGGGTACATGTGTGTCAAATATTTCTAAGAACATTTTCTACATGCTGCTCTCAGGCAGCCCAGGAAACAGATTTTGCCCCTTTCTCCTAGGCATCACCAATCTTAACTACTGATTCTCTTGGGGCCCTTCTATCATTTGACTTTTGATAGTGCTGGTGGTGGTATCTTCCTCTCTTTCACTGGGAAAAGTAAAAAATTCTCACCACAAATACTGTATTACCCTAAAGACAATGACTTCAAGAATGCTTTCTCCTCTTTTCTCTCTGGTTCTCTCCTTATATAGACTGGAGAGATGAAAGATTGGGTGATGGCAAGAGAGACGGCTCTGCTTCCTTTGGCAAGCCTCAGGGGGTTGTGTCTGACCCCAATTATTGGTGGTCTCTGGCAGTTCATTAAAATGTGTGGTTCTTGGAGATTCTTATTTGAGGAATGTAGTCAATTTCACTCAATTTCTTGTGAATCTTGTGTAAGAGGGGTTTTTATTGTCAAATTAGAGTTCTGGTTATCCTAGTAGGAAGATAAAAGCAGCTATATCTAAGCTTTCCATCTCAAATAATGAAGTTACCCTTTATTCCTGAGACTTCAAAGGTAGGTTCCAGGATATGGAAATGAAGGGCACAAATATCTCATGTGTTAAAGTCAATGTATCTAGGTAAAATTCTATGGAGAATTCTAGCAAATGGTTGAAAGAATGGAATGGATCTGGAGATTAGAAAAGAATTTCAGTAAGAGAGAGAGATGATCTGAAGCCACCAACATATGGATGGCACTTGAGACCATGGAAATGAATGGCATGTCCCATGGAGAATGTGGGGAGTGGGAAGGGAAGCAGACACAGAGGCAAAGCTGGGGAATATCAGTAAGGGATGGGAAGAAGGAGAGAAGAATACACTAAATTTTTTTTTAAAAAGGGAGAGAGACAGAAGGAAGATTCAGAGAAGATGGACAAAGAACTCAGGAGAGGGAAAATAGAAACAGAGTTTAGCAAAGAAAGAAGTTGAACGGTGGAGAGGAAGGGAAAGTGTAAAATTGAAGAAGAATGATAGAACTGGAAGACAGAAAGGAGAGGTGGCTTGTTAGTTTGTGACAGAACGCCATCAACATTTGCCTGAGAGGTCTCACACCAGCCCCAATGGTGTAGTCTGTCCAATACGAATTTGGAGAAGGTGTGGAATTCAGAGTCTTTCTGAGTACTCTTGCTGGTTGTGTTAATATGACAACGTGTTCATATGTTGTGATGATTAATTTTATGTGTCAACTTGCTAGCTAAGCTGCCCAGTGGTTTGCTCAAACACCAGTCTAGACGTTGCTGTGAAGGTATTTATAGATGTGATTAGTATTTACAATCAGCCAACTTTGAGCAAAGCAGATTACCCTCCATAATGTGGGTGGGCTCATTCAGTCATTCAAAGGCCTTTACAAGTCAAGACTGAGGTTTCTGGAATAAGAAAGAATGCTGCCTCAAGACTGCAACATAGAAACCCTATCTGTGTTTCCAGCTGATAGCTTCCCTGGTGGAGTTTGGACTCAAGACTGCACCATCAGCTCTTACCTGAATTTCCAGCCTGCCAGCCTGCACCACAAGTTTCAAGCTCACTAGCTCTCACAATTGCATGAGCCAATTCCTTAAAATAAATCTCTCTCTTTCTCTTTATTAATATATTATACTAATATTATAAATAATATTATTAACATAAAGTAGTAATTATTTCATTAATGTTAATAGATATAATTTGTATAATTAATATTATATAATATATTAATATAGAGTATTAATATATCTTATTATTTATACATAGAGATCTATATGTTAAGCTTAAGATTTCTTTTCTTTTTTTCTTTTTTTTGGTGAAGAAGATTGGCCCTGAGCTAACATCTGTTGCCAATCTTCTTCCTTTTGCTTGAGGAAGATTGTCACTGAGATAGCATCTACGCCAATCTTCCTCTATTTTATCTGGGATGCTGCCACAGCATGGCTTGACGAGTGGCATGTAGGTCCACACCCAGGATCCAAACCAGTGAACCCCGGGCCACCAAAGCAGATGAAAGGAAAATATAGAAAATGAACTGTTTCAGAAAATTGGTCTGCCACAGTATATTTTATTCAGTGATCAAAGGTATCACTTACCTTCCTGGCACTTTTCTGTTTGCAAGAAAACACAAGACCGAGACTGTAATATGAGCCATCAGGAAAGCTAACCCAATCCCCAGAAGAGTCCATATATCTGGAATTTCAAACCAATGAAAAAGATAAATATGCAGTGAAAAATGTTAAAGACTCAAAAATCAAACAGTTTGTTTAGTTACAATGTCACCTACCATTCTGAGGGTACGGAAAACCTGCAGTAGGAGGGTTAACCTTGATGTGGCATCTATTTCCTTTCCATCCTTGTCCACATCTGGAAATGAGATAAAATGTGATAGTTGAAAAAAAAAAGGAAGTGGAAACATATTTTAGCAGTATTGTCATGGAATAAAATGATGAAGACCAACAAACAATGAGATACCAGGAATGTATCTCATTCCTGGTAACTTTGATAAGAAACCAAAAATGTTAAACCAAACAAAAACAAAATTAAATTTTATTATTTTCACATTATTGTGTAAGATGATATTTTTCCAATATTTATCCTCTTCTTGACTTTATCTGTAAAGTGAGAACTTAAGCTCCTTTATTGATTTCAAAAATTGAGCTGCTTTTCACCAGTGTCCAATATTACTTCAATTATTCATCATTAGTCTCAAACGCAGAGCTGGCACATTTTTTTTTTCATTGAGTTAACAACAAACACCTAGATACAGAGAACAGGTTGGTGGTTACCAGAGAGGAAGGAGGGGCTAGCACATTTTTAAATGTGAATGGATTTAAGTTCTTTCAGATACCGATGGAGAGTATTTAAATTATAGATTAACAGAAACATAAATCAGAGAGCATATTTATTTCTTACTACAAAGGTGTCATCCTTCAAGTGCATAGATTTGGAATCAGATTAATAATCTCATTGGATACACCAGCACTCCTACTAGGATTTCATTAGCTTTGCTTTATTTAAGAACAGACATGATGAAGCTTGTAACACTGGGAGCATCCCCTTTGATATGGATGGCCTTCAGAAAGATCAGAAATGGGGACCATCTTGTGCCTTAAAGGGACATGAGGCTTATTTCTAAGCAGTAATGTGTCAGAATTTTTGTGGTTTAGTATGTGTTTGCATATGGGCGTGAAAGCTTATAGACAGGTTCTTGTTTACCGGAAATAACAGGATACACATTAAGAAGGATTTGGTTGAATTTCCTGTCAAGTTCATGGTACATGCTACAAAGTAGGATTAGAAACTAGCTTTTGAATATGCGTCTTTAAAAGCCGTGTGTGAGAACCAATGCTTCTCCAGCACATGGTTATTGTATTTTTCCTCAATGTCTTGAATTTGAAAATTTCAGTGCTCAGTAGCAATTCCTTCACAAAAGCAATGGCCTCTTTAAAGATAAAAAGTTTTGAGGTTCAAGGAGGTCCATAAGGATGCCTTCTTTCCTAAATAAATATTCTTTAAAAAGTGGAAATTTAAGACAGTTTGATTTTTTTGATGTCTGAAATAAAAGTTAAAATAAATTAAATTGTTGAAGATTAGGGTATTTGTTTTTTATTGTCACAGCTCTTAGTCTTTGTCAGTCCTCGGTTGGCAGTGTGCTACATGTCATTCTTTCGCATGTGCACACACTGGTGTGGCCTAGAGAGAGGGGACACTTTTTTCATTCTGGGTAATTTGGCTCCTTGAGATTTTGAAAGTGCCACCTCACGGGCATCAGGATGGCAGTAATCTTCACCTTAGGTAAATTGTAAGGATTTGAATGTGCCTGTTAAGATAAATTCCAGTGGGAAGTATCTTGGAATGTCAGTTAAAAAAATAACGGAGGAAAACCCAAACCAAATGGTGAAACAGTATGAATGCCATCTATCTATCTTTCTATCTAGCAGCTATCTACCTATCTTCTATTTGTCTGTGTGCACGTGTTTATTTATATATCTAAAACATAGTGATGAACAAATAGAGTTTTGACAGTTCTTTGGGGAATTCAACTATACTGAAAAAGTTTTTAATGTTAATTTTACAGAAAATAGGTATAGAGCCTATGGATAAAAGGAAAAGTAAAGACAGGCAATTTGTTTAGTTGATAAAAGTTTACCCGTAAAAATAAAAATAATAGGAAATAACCTTCCTTCCAATAGGTACATATATACATATCACTCAATTTTTATTTATTTATTATTTTACCCAAGACCACTTATGTTAAATAGATCAAAGTGATATAATCCTATCAGCTAACATGACAAAAGTAATATGAAGGAATGCAAAGAAAAGGCTAGTCATTTTCTTTATTATTTTTCATATGCAATCTGAGTAGGGAAGCTTAGATATCTCATTCAACTATTCATTTCTTATTAGCAAGTTAGCAACATTAGCATAACAAATAAAAAATAAGAGAATATCTAATCCTGAAGAGATAATGCAAAGATTGTCGTTTTTAGTAGTAGTGTATTGGCTGTTTTCATAGTTGTTGGGGGTGAAGGGTTAAGGGTTAAGGCTCTCGTGGGGAGAAATAGAATAGGGAAAGTGGATGAGATACTGGGAGGAATTCAGTGCGCTTTGGTGAGGTGGAGGCCAACCAGAAGCCGGTCCAGGGGAGGCGTTCTAGGCACAGCCACATTCTAGGGGAGCTGGCTGGTGGTTAGAGTAGGGTGGGTGTGGGGAGTGCTGATAGTTATCTGGTGCCAAGAATGAGATTCCTAAAAGAACGGGGCCATGAGACTCACCTTATTTGCTTGACAATTAATTAAGGACTAAAACTGCCCTTTCTAGGTAATCTCTTAGTTCTTTTATGACTAAACAGGCTGACTGCAATTGCAATTTTACCTCTTGTATAATCCAAAAGGATCCATAAAGATGGTAAACATTATATAATACTTGTGCTAAGTCTAAAATACATCATCTAAATTAAAATGGTTGGCTTTTTTGTTTTAATGTCAAGAAGACGGAAAATAAATATTTGATGTGATGTCACTATTTTGGAGTTCTGACATTTTCATAGTGAGTCATTAGCAGCAGTTTAACCAATAAAATTAACTGTTAAGCTTAACAAAAGGGAAGAAAATCTCTTGTTTTTATTCAAAAAGCACCCATAAGCAAAAAGCAAACGAGGAAAATCTGATTATTTTAAGCTAATTTGGGGCTGAGTGTTTTATCCTATACCTAGTGAGTACAACTCTAACATTGGAGCATTTCAGCCTTATTTTTGGAACTACAGAAGTTCCAACTACTACCCGATTATGGCGCATGCTCGGATTGCCTCCTCCAAATTCATTTAACCACCCATGCTCCTTCCCTTCCCTCCACCAAATCGTAAACATTTCTATGGTTTGGTTGGGAATGAGCCCCAACCTGACCTTTAGGATTATCTCATTCCCCTGCTGTGGCATTTTGCCTCAGGACCCTGTCCATCACCACATGGCATTCTTAATCAACAAGCATTGATTCATAGATTGACATGGACATAGGTTTTTCCAGTAAGAATTTCATTACCAAGGGATACATTTTGACGGATATTTGTGGTAAGAGACATCCTCTCTCCAACTCTGATGTGAAAAAGGAAGCATGTAGCCCTGTTAAATTCAGGTCAGTCCTCTTGCTGCCATTTTGCTACAAAAGCTAGCTTGAGGATAAAATAAACTAATAGGAAGACAGAGTCTAGGAAATCATTGGGAAATGGAGGAACAACCTTAATGGCATTGCAAACTTCTCAGTCAGTTCATGTTCCAAGCCTGCTCTGCATTTAGACTTTTTAGTTACACGAATCAATAAATTCCTTTATCAATTGAGCCAGTTTGGGTTGAGTCTTCTGTTACCAGCATGCACAAAAAAACTAGTTTTTCTACTCTTCCATTTAGATTCCTGAAGTTCTCTTCATTAAATAAATAATGCTTTGTTCATAAAATATTTATTGAATATCTACTATGTACAAGGTACTCTGTTAGATATACAAAGGATGGACAAGACAACTCTGAGAATTTTTAGGAGCATAAACTTAAAGAAGAAATAAAAAGCACACTCAAAAATCACTAAGATACAAAATAGAAAATAAAATATATGAAGTATGAGAAAGATTTAAAAAAGTGTCAAAAGAGAGGATGAAAGAATTGCTTCAAGAATTTTTATTTTTCCAGATCCGGAAAGTGAAAAATGTACAATCTCAACTAGACATGTATGGAACAGGTGACATATTAAATTATGTTTATTCCAGAGAATGAAATGTTTATATCTTTGTATTATACGACAATGTTTCAGAAATCATGTATACCTGATGGAATCTGGAGAGAGACATTCAAATTATGTTCAAATTGTTAATGGGATCCTAAACTAACCTCTAGATTTCCCAGTTCTTTACTGCAGTATATTTTTTCTGCCATACTTACTCTAATCTTTTAGTGGTTTTTTTTTTTTTTTTTTTGGTGAGGATGATTCACCCTAAGCTAACATCTGTTGCCAATCTTCCTCTTTTTTTGCTTGAGGAAGATTCACTCTGAGCTAACATCTGTGCCAGTCTTCCTCTATTTTGTATGTGGGATGCCTCCACAGCATGGCTGATGAGTGGAGTAGGTCCACAGCCAGAATCTGAACCTGTGAACCAGGGTCACTGAAGTAGAGTGCATGGACTTTAACCACTGGACCATGGGGTTGGCCCCTAACCATATACTTTTTAAGGACCTAGAAGAAAAACAACAGAAGCAGCATACATTTTTAATATATTCCAGATTAGATTTATAATTTAGCATTATAGAAGTAGACTTTTTTCTTTTTTGGTGAGGAAGATTGGCCCTGAGCTAATGTCTGTGCCAATCTCCCTCTATTTTGTATGTGGGATGCCGCCACAGCATGACTTGATAAGTGGTATGTAGGTCTGTGCCTGGGATCTGAACCTGTGTGTGAACCCTGGGCCAGCAAAGCAGAGTGCATGAACTCAACCACTATGCCACAGCGCTGTCCCCAGCAGTAGACTTATTTTTCTTTTTATTAGGCATTTTCACAGGTACATGTTGTGATTATTAAAATCATGCATACTTTTTTGTTTGTAGGAGTCAGTATCATTCTACGTTTACATTCCATGCTTTGGAAAACTACAATATATTAAACCCAATGGGAATTAGGACTGAATACTTGCTATGTGCTAAACAGTATTCTAAATGCTTTAATATATCATTTATAACACAATAATGTTACAAGATAGGAATCATTTCCCCATTTTATAGTTGAGGAAATAACGGTTCGGAGAGGTCCAGCAGTGAGTCACGGGAGGACATTCTGAATGAAATGTTAGCCTCTGTCTCTTTGGCTCCTCAGGCGAC